GTAACTCTCTCCCCTTACAGGGCACCATGCTTGCCTCAGAGGGGATTTTCAATCAAGTGTCAGATGAAGTCCCTGCAAAAATGCTTTAATAGTATTCCACAAAGAACTTTTGGTGTCTGACTCACATAGAATGCATATGAAATTTGCTTTTAAAGTCCCAAACCAGGGGCTGGCCAGTTAGCTCAGATGGTTAGAGCACAGCAAGGATTCAGATTCCCTACCGGCCAGCCACCAAAAAAAAAATAATAATAATAATAATAAAAAAAAATCCCAAGCCAGCTATTGGCAGAAAGCTGCTCCAGTTTGGGGACTTGAGTCTTGTGTAGGGATATGGAAACTCATTTGCTCATATTATTTAACTAAGCATCTGCAATCATCTCAGGTTCTCAGAGCCCTGATGACCAATTCATTAATCCTCAGAACACATCTGTGGGTGGGTGGGTGGGTGGTTGAAGAACAGCATAAATGTTCTTTTATAAGAATGATCAGAAACAAAGATCAAGAGCATTTTTCCCAGGTCCCCAGTGAATCCATGAGTCACAGAACATTTTTTTTTTTTTTAAATTCTAACCTTCTGGATATTATACTATCAATTTTCATTAGGATAAAATGCTATTTAAAAGTGCAGTGGTTAAGGTAAGCACAGGCTCTGTAGCCAGACTGTCTCTGGGGTCAGATCCCAGTTCTACCACTGACTAGCTGTTGTTCTTGGGCAAATGATTTAACTTCTCTAAGACCTCAATTTCCTCATCTGTAAAGGGAATTACAGCACCTACTGCAAAGGGATGTTGGGAAGATTAAAGAACATATACCCTATAAAACATTTAGCAAAGCGCCTGGCACATGGAGAGTGTGCAATAAAGGGTGGTTATTATCATCCAGCCCTCACCAAAGATGACCTCATTCACAACTGGGAACACAGAGGCAACTCTTTAAGCAACTCTTAAACTCTTTAACAGGAGGTGCGGAAAGGACCCATGGTTTCTTTTTCCATAGGCTTTAATCCCTTACACTTGCAGGGATCCAGGAAGGGCAGGATGTGCTTCTTAGAGCACACTTTAGTCCCCAGGGTGGTCTCGCCCTGCAACAGGGCTTCTCCACTTGCCACGCAGCCTTCTTCTCTGCCTCCTCGCTTTTCCTTCGGCTCTGTCTCCTGCCATCACCCCACAGCTTTCCCCGCTCTAAGCCGAGGTTCTCAGTGTACTTCCAGAGGCACAGGGGGGAGTACAGTTCTTGTGGGGACTTTGTTTTCCTGCAGACCACTGCCTCATAGTCAATTTAGCACCATCACTCACAAGCAATAAAAATAGATTTTGCTCCATGGCTAACAGGATTAAAGGTTAAAGTGGTACTTTTGCACGCCTGTGTTGACTCCACAGATTTGGGGGCCAGAACCATTCATCTTTTCCTTAATGTATCATGCCCGCTGCAAAAGGCAGCAACCACTCTGACGGGGAAATTATATATGCCTTCCTGCCGCTACTATACCACTAGCACTTCACCGCAAGATTCAACCCCGAGTGCCACAGAGAGACCTAGAATTAATGCTGAATGAATGGGTGGAGGAGGGAAGAATCCCTCAAGACACAGGATATGGATTGAACTTTTCTGCAGTTTCAGCACTGGCTAATTTATACTTATTCTGAGTAGACGCTGCTTCCATGTCAGGCAGCTGAAAGATGAGCTACACTAAATTTTCAATATTGTAAGTCTTTGCTGGAACATTTGTATTTTCCTGGCTTGACAGAACTCAGGTTAACACACTAAGGTAATCTGTGGGCCCTAAGAACATGTGAGAAGGACTGGCTACAATGATTAGGGAACGCGCTTTGTTGGTTGTGAAAATTTATCAGGAGATCCTGGAGATTAATTGTGAAGCAAGCAGGTGAGAGTGAGTGGCCTCTGGCTTTTAATTCACTGTATTACCCGACAAAATTCAGTGTGCATGTTTCTTTAGTGTCAAAAACAGGGGGGTATTTCTGCATCTTGAAACTGAACACAAACCAAATACAAGAAAGAATTCCCAACTTGACAATGGTGGCACCTCAACATTAGGTCTAGGATCCCATTCCCTTCTCTGGGATTAAAAACTCCCTCTAGGTACAGGTTGATCGGTTTTCAGACTTTCATGGGCCCCCGCTGGGACTCTCCCAAGCTGCCGGAGAGTGCTGGGGGAAGGACTCAAACGAGGACAGTCCTGCGTGGCTGTGAGGACTTGTAAACAATGAACTGTAACACAAGCACAAATGTGAGAACAACAAGCTGGGGGTGCAGGGGGGAGGGAGCGTGGCTGCGGGGAGTGCCTGGGAAAGACTTCACA